GATTCAAATGAATAGCTAGATTAATTTAGCATAATTTACATATATTCACTTATTGGATACAATTTCTTATAATTCTTACAATTTGGAGTTTTAATTTCAAAAGTACATTTCAGTATCTATTCAATGACACAAACATTTTTATTTCAAAAATCACTGAATAACCCATGAACCTTTTCTGTATTGTGATAAGTGAGACTTCATTTTAGTATAGAAATACCATGAAGTAAGAACCCGATCTAGCCAGGAGTGGGGGCATCAGCCTATATAATCCCACCTATTCTCACAGGGCTAAGGCTGGACATTCACAAGTGTGAGATCTGCCTGGGCTACAGAGTGAGTTCAAGGCCAGCCTGGACAATTTAGTGAGACTTTGTCTCAAAATAAAAAATAAAAAGCAAAAAGAGGGCTTGGGATGTAGTGTACTGTAGTTTACAGTTATAGAACACTTACCTAGCATGCATAAGGCCCTGGGTTCAATCCCCAGTTCCACAAAACCACAAGAAAAAAATACGAAAGACCTCTTTCACCTTCCCATAACCCTCTGTCCTTCTCCTCCCTCTCTACCCTCTGTGCTCTCAGACACATATGGGCAGCTGCCTCTGCTTCCAGATGTATGCAGACAGACATGTGGCATGTCAGGACTTTGAAAAGTGTTTTCTTTCTTCTGTTTTGAATACTATATACCTTAAGCACTATAACAAACTACATGGCTTAGAAGTCCAGTCAAGGTATTGGTGGGGTTGCTGTCTTTTGAGGCCTCTCTCCACGTGTGATGTTCCTTGTGTGTGTGTCCTAATTTCCTCCTCTTAAGAGGGAAGCAGTCGTACTGGATTAAGACTACCTTTTGACTTCACTTTAGCTTAGTTACCTTATAAACAGACCCTGTCTCCAAATACAGTCCCATTCTGTGTATTCTGACTTCAGCATGTTGAGTTCAGTCTATAACACTTCCCCAGTCCACAGACCCTGTGCTGTTTCTCTGGCGAGCACAATCTTCTGCCCTGTGAGGGAGGGTGTGTTGCATGGCTGTGCTAAGGGGGGGGGGCAGAGATTCTGAGCTTTTTTTTATTTATTTATTTTCATTTTATGTGTATGATTGTATTGCCTGCATGTCTGTGAGTGCACCCATGTTGTAAAATGCCTGCAGAGGTCAGAGGAGGACATTGGATCCCCTGGAACTGGAGTTACAGATAGTTCTTAGCTGCCATGTGGGTGATGGGATTTGAACTCAGGTCCTCTACAAGAGCAGCCAGTGCTGAGCCATCTCTCCAGCCCTGCGTCTGAGTTTTTAAAGTGAACTTTTAACCAGAAAGTGATTTTTGGTCCACTTTGACTATGAGTCTGGAGGTGCAAGATCCTGCCAGGTTCAAAGTCCTAACTTGAACTTGGCTGCCTACGTGTCTAGCTTAGGATTCCACTCTGGGTGGATTCCATTCCACCCAGGTCTTCTGAGTCAATCACTAGTCATTTCTTTGTCTTCTTGGCTCCCAGCATTTGTCACTTTCATCTTTTACCTCCATTCTTTCTTATGCCTTTAATAAACAACACACGTATAGCCCATTTACTGTCCCTTAAAAGGGACAGTAAAGTGGGTTCATGTTGTAACTCTACCGTATTCAGTTTAAATACTTAAACAAAGGATGCAGAGGTGGAAGAGATGCCCAGGACAGGCTTGTGAGAAGGGCCTGGAGCGTCCATGGCTTCCATCACTGTACCCCCATCTGGGCCCTGCCGTTACGTACCCAGCAGTCTGCAGGCTCTCCAAACTGTGCTTTGCGTCTCCATGGAGGCTTCATTCTGTAAGTGATGAACCACATCATTGGCATTGGTGACCAATTCAACTTTCTACCCCTCTTCTTATCTGGTAGTTCCCCTGACAAGCAGCTACCCCACCTACAGTCCAAGAATCCACTAAGAGCTGCTTCATTGGAACAAAAGATGGTCCTATCACCCAGGACATTCCAGGGGATTAGTTCTTTTCTCAGACATACCCATCACTTAGGATTTACTAAGATTTTAGGAACTAGTGCCAGGAACTAGATTTAAGGACCAACTATTAGGAAAGATTTTCCTTAGCTCTTTGTATCTGCTGTTCCTTCAGGAGCTCTGTGTCAGGAATCAGATGCAAAGACCAGGAATCAGATGCAAAGACCAGAGTGTATTTTTTTATTTCTCAGCTATAGATATATTCATAGGTAATTTGTGTTTGTATTGAACTTCCTGGTTTTGAATGTACACTCTGTATTGAAGGCTGTTTGATGCAATGTGCTATGAAACAATAATAGGAAAAACTACTCTCCCAGGAGGAATAGAGAAAACACATAAGCATAAGGTGAAATAGACTTACGAAGAAACAAGTCAACAAAAATGTGGTATGTAGTACAAACAACCTTTTGGGGGGTAGGCTCAAGTGAACTTGAGTGACCGCCTAAAGGAGGCGATCTTCAGGTGTTTTGAAAGTGGGGTACAAGGCTCTCAAACAAGCAGAGGTCTATGGAGGACTCCTGTGGGAGAACTGCACATTATCACTGGGTATTGTGTGCCACGCACTGCGCAGGTTATGGAGGAAGAAAACGTAAGCAGTGCGCACAAATTCGAATTGACTGATTTTCTTAAAGTAGGGAATGTGAATGTGGTGTTGGGTAGGAAGAGAGGACACAGAAGACATGTTCTGATGGAGCAAACCAGAGAGACTAGACAAGGGACACGGCAATTGAAAAGAGACACTACGAGAATGAAGTCTGTCCTGAGATCAAAGTCAAAAAGCACCAGTTACAGGAGAGACACTGCTTAATTGTTTGCCTTTATTTCAGATGCAGTAATGCTTTAAATTGTGTGGGTGGAACCATTTGCTTTCAATTATATTTTTCTCCCTAAAGATGAAGACTATAAATTAGTAACTATGTGTGTTTGTGGTACGGAGCATGCCTGAGAGAGAGGGAAGGAGGAAGAGAGGGAGGGAGGGGGTTTGAGGAGCCAATCAGTGCTTAGAAAGCAATAGAAAACATTTCACTATTTTCCTTTTTCTGTAATACAAAGACTTTGATGACCAGACAAATTAATGTTAAAGATCTTCCAACAAACAACCCAGTGGATTTGCCTTTAGAGAATAGATATTTTTTTTTAATTTTTAAAAATGATTTATTTAATAACAACATACTCAGAAGAAGCATATCATTACAACACAATTGACATATTCAATAACGTTTTCCTGAGGTAGGATGCATCTCTTTCAAATTTGGCTGTAAATTTTTAGGTTTACAGTTGAATTATTACAGTTATACAATATTGTACTCAGTATAAACCCTATAAGACATAAATTAAATGATGTTTTAACCTTTAAAAAGATCTCCATTTCATTATTAAAATACACAGTTTCATATAGAAAAATTCTTTTTCAATGCAATTGACATTGGATGTTCGCACATGCATTTCTAATCTCTAAATATCTGATTATTACTAGTCACTGTTGGTTACTTTCTGAGCTTCTAGGCATCTGAGCATGGATATAAAGTCATCAGGTAGATTTCAATGGTAATGTTTTTCACATCTACTAATTATTATTTTTTAATCATTATTTTTTT